AGCTCCTAAGGCCATGGGTCTGTACTAATCTTCAACGTGACCACCTAGTTCTTGATTCCCTAGTTCGTGACTCGTTCGTCCATAGATGAATGGACGAACGAACAGACGGACGGACGGACGGACGCACGGACGGACGGACAGGATGGCAGGCAGACAGGCAGGCAGGCATGTGAAGGGTTTATAGTTTCAGATAAAAACCTCCAAAACTTTACTCCACTCATCATCGTTCCCTCCACCGATACGCTGTGAATTTTTTGTACGAATAAGGTTCGAACATTGGCATGCCTCTGTGATAGAACACCTGCTTGCCACCCAGAGAGTCTCGGATTGATTCGTACTCGCATTGAATTTCTTTAATATTTCTTTTATTGGCAGATTTGTTGGGTTTTTTGTCACGCACAAGATCATGCTTTCTCAATCACAATCGGAGATGCCGACATCGAAATTTATTCTCGCAGCTGTTTCTTCACTTCAGTTTTTTTTTTTTCAGATACGTGTGAACTCAGGTGTATTACTCGATGAAGTGCAGAATCAATGGTTGCTTTTCTGTTTCAACGTTCAATTGCGGTTCAAAAAAAAGCCTCCGTTGCGAGGGCTTTCTGATAATTTCGGTCACCTAACACATTTTACCTTACCCTGCAATCGCACCGATGTCACACCACACATCGGCAGCTTCTTTGCTACATGACGGGATGTTGCGCAACGAACATACAGACAGAGTGGAAGTGGCAAGGTGGTGGAAGTGGCAAGGTGGTGTTATGCCAGGTGGTGCCATTCCTTAGTGGAAGTGGCAAGGTGGTGCCATGGGCAAAATCATCTACCAAACATCAACGCCAGTGGCTCAAGAATCTGCAGCGATTACTTGTGATAAGTGATAAAATGTGGACTGCAACTTCTTTGGGAATGTGCGGCTTTGATAATGTCGGTTAATATTAGAACACTAAAGGCGCTTTGTTGCTGCTCAATCGCTTGGTAATCGCTTCCTTTGGCGCAGGCGTTTACACAGAGCTAAAGATTGTAATGCCTTAAACAGGCAAGAAAGCAAAATATGGACTACAACAGCTGCAGAATTTAATGTATTCCAGCTAACGTTATAGGCAAAAGAAATGCAAAATAGACATGATCTTAGTCAACGTGTGTCGGCTGCTTGACACGTAGAAACATAGGTAGGCGAATTCAGGCATCAGTCCACTCACTCGGACTTACCCAGACTCGGATAAAGCCCTAAGGCCGAGTCTGAAAGTTCGCGTGAGCATTATTACCGAAGAAGCAAATTAAATTTAAAGACTGAGCCTGAGTGAGCTACGCAACTTTTTCCAACCCATGCACACAACCCGTCTAAAATGCCTCATGAGGCGTGCAATATTACAAGAAAGATTCACTAGAATTGTTCGAATAAAAAAAAGAAGAAACTTCCAGCTGCTGCACTAGCATCAGCATAAAATCAAGACATCGTTCGTTTCATGGCCTATCCCCCATGGTGGGTAGCGCCAGGAAAAAAAAGAGACAAAGAGACAAACAAACATACGCCGCCCGTGCACATGATCCAAGCAATATGCTTTTACTAGCAGTGCAAAGAAGGAAAAGAAGAGCGCAACAACAGTGTTGAAGTGTCCATGCAGCTGCTCAATCTCGTTACCTCAATTGCATTCACCTTTATGTTTCAAGCACGAGCAATGTTAAACGCAACAGCTCTTTGAATCGGACATTTACACCTTTCAGATTTTCGAGCCATAATTGCGTATGCATGCACGCCAAATACACATCCGTATTGCAATCACATTCCAGACTACGATTTATCCACTTTTCACAGCTACCGTAAGTGAGCCAAACACGACGAAAAGATACGATAATATTCTGGCACGTTGTTAAATGAAAGTTCGAGGATCCAATTATTTAACCTGTGTTTTTTTCACTAGCACTAATTGGCGCAACAGCTAGTAGGAGCATCAGCGCGAATTCGAGACTCTTAAACATGAGCTAACCAATTGATCTAACTTCGCGAATACAGAAAAACTTAAACGAAAGCAAAATAGAAAAAAAATTCATTATATCTGCACGCTACACTACTTATTTCGTCGAAAGACGATACTCTTGCATCTGTAGAGAGCGAACAAAATGTTTATTTGATGTTCTGCTAAAAAAAGCGCTGAATGGTACTCTGGAAGCATTGCGTTACAGCACCTCGAGCGTGTAGCGGACGTAAACGAGCGCATATAGTCACGTCACACGTGAGACATGCCCACGCTCTGCACATATCTTAAAAAAGGAGGTGTTAATACCAATGCAAAAATGTTCATACTTGTGCGATCGTCGATCAAAAAGCAATTGTTTCACGTATTTGAGACACCTTAACAACACGTTGATGCCTTGTATGTGTGCCTTTGTACTAGAGAAGGCAAACACAATTCTAAGGACCGTAGCGTTTATCACGCGGCGCTGACAGTGCAACGCGATGCTCAAAAAGGCACGTGTTTCCAACGCTTTGCTAAGACGACACGGTAGTGGCGCCTGCCCGTCGCTTTGCGTTCTACACCTTGTCCCCCTTTCTTCTACACAGATGCGCGTCTTTCTTCGCAAGCGCGCACGCCTTCCTTCGTTTTCGAAGATAACTTCCAGATGACGCCCGTGTCTAACGTGCCTCGATGCGCTCATTCACCTTCGCTGCACGCTCGAGGCACTCTAACGAAGAGCCTGCAAAATACCATTCACCAATTTCCTTGCGCACAACAGCAACTAAACGTTTTGTTTACTTTCTCCAGACACGAGACTATCGTCTTTCGATGACATTTGCACTGTAACATGGAGATTCTGGACCAATTTTTGAAAACGTCTTTCTTGGGAACCTTCGACGCAAAAATTTTCGTCTGTCTTTCTGTCTGTCTGTCTGTCTGTACATTTGTCCGTTTGTCTACTCTTAACAGCATCGGGTACTTGAAACGGCCGACCCCATCCGCAATGCCCACCTATGTTGCTTAAGTTTTAGTGTTCATACTTGTGCAATTGTCGATTAAAATCAATTATTGCGCATTTATGGGGCAGCATAACAACACGTATATATTCTGCATCAGCGCCTTTTACTAGAAACTGCACACGTAAGTAATTTTAAGGACCATAGCGCATATCACGCTGCGCTGACCATGCAACACTTGCACGAAAAGGAGAGTGTTTCCAACGCTTTGCTAAAACGAGATGGTGGTGGCACCTACCCGTCGCCTTGCGTTTTACACCTTATCACCTTTGAGATGAGCGCGCACACCTGTCTCAGAGCCATGCGCTTTGTTTTCGAAGAAAACTGCCAAATGGCGCTCATGTCTTATGTGTGAGGTGACTTGATGCGCTCGTTCGCCCCCACTGCACGCTCGAGGCACTCAAACGCAGTGCCTGCAGAATATGATTTACCGATTTTCTTGCGCAGAACATCAAATAAATGTTTTCACTCTCTCTACATGCGAAAACATCGTTTTTCGACGACATTTGCAGAATAAATGCAAATACAGGGCCAATTTTTAATTGACGATCGCACAAGTATGATCGCTGAGACTTGAGAAATATTGGTGGCCGCTGCGGATAGGGTTGGCCGTTTGGGACCGTTTGGGATATCGTTACGGTGGATAAACAGACAAATATACAGACAGACAGTAAGACAGACACACGGACGGACGGACGGACGGACGGACGGACAGATAGATGGACGGACGGACGGACAGAAGAACAGACGGATGGACAGACAAACGGACCAAAATTTTGCAGACAGACGGACCAACCTTTTACAGACAGACGGACCAACATTTTACAGACAGACAGACCAAAATTTTTGCATTAAAGTCCCCGAAAAAGACTATCGCTTAAAAAAAACAATCTCCCAATGTTCAGCAAGCGCAGCTTCTACGTAGACAGAGAGTGGCTTTCGCGCATAGTGACGAAGCTCAACATGGTGTACCTTGAATAGGCCAACTCTGCTACCTATGGTGCTACCTAAAGGTAGAATATACAGCACCGCAACGGTGGCGCAGATTATAGCACCATCACACGGTGCTCGCTCGAAACCCATGGCAGCGTGCGTCTAGAGGGCGAAGCTGGTGGCGTCCCAGGTAGCACAGTTTGCCATTGCGCACGCCGAGCTGTTTTTCTCTTTCATTCACTACACTTTGAAGTGCTTGACGAGTACCAGTGTTTAGTAAGTGTTGGTTCCATCTTTGTGAGAACTTCACAATATGCTGTGTTCTTTGATATTAACAACACAGTTAAATCGTGATTCATGGGCATCAGTCGCCGCGGCCAAGGTGTGCCGCTAGGTACGAACGTGTGTACATATACGCCAAACAATGCTGCCAGCTGCGAGACACCAAAAGACATTGCACAAGCTCTCGTATTTGAATATACAACAAACCGTAACTACTTCTGTGAAGCCGCATAGCCCATTTGTCTTGCATCGATTCATACGACAAATGAATCCTCTTGGTCTTTTTTACAGTTGTTCGTTCGATTTGTTGCTTTCTCTCTTCTTCTTACTCTCTAGGCATTGTGTATTTGTTGTTGTTTTGTTTCTTTTTCCTAGAATCTTGCTTACCCTCGCTTTCTCTGCATTCGATATGTCGAAAATCGCCGTTATCGTAAATATCTGCTGGACATTGTGGCACGAGTGTTCTGTGACCGAAGCCGGACATTAAGTGGACTAGGAGGAATAAGAGAATGAATAAAGCACGTGCTAGTACATAATGATAGAATGTTACTTATTGATTCTCCGCTGTTAAAAGAATATGGCTTTCACTTTGGAGCCGTCTTTGGCGCATGCATAAGGGAACCTGCGTGTTCTCGCGAGTAACTGAGAATAGCTGCTCACAACACCTTTACCGGCAGCTCCTCCTGATAACTTGACTGTCTTCTCGCATCTACAGTGCAAGGGCATGCAATGTTCTTGCTTTTCAAAAGTCATGCTCAAACAAGACGGAAAGTTTCATTGCTATTTTCAAAAAAATCTTCTCCCTTTCTTTCAGGTGGCCGAAGAGCGGCTGTGTGAAGGCCGCCTCATGGACATTAGTGGCAAATTCAAGCTGCACCTTCCTGACCTCGTTCAGTTGCTATTAGAGCCAGATAATCTGCTGCCAAAGCAGATAAATGGTCGAACAATAACGTGTCAGGAGCTGATGTCCTACATTAAGGTATGCTGTGCTCTTCCTCTAACACCACTGCTTCAAAGCTAACTTATTTTTTGTTGCAGAATATTTTACAATGCAACGGGTTAGAGACGGACAGAAAAAGAGCACAGTGCTAAACTCACAACTGAAACTTATGTGGAAAAAGAAAGAAGATATATAGAAAACAATGACACATCACAACTATGTCATACACACATAGAACCACGCATGACTTGAAAAACGCTGGTGCTCAGTATGGCGAAAGCGTGTTCTTCTCAGTACGTAATAAAGTGGGTAATGTGTGTGCTTTGGTGGATAGGCCGTTGTTTCAGCAGCCAGACAGAGTGAACAAACGGGTCTCTCATCGTGCCCACAAATGTGCTTCTTGTGCTACTTGCCTGGTTTATGCCATTCGACTGTCTAGCGGCTGCGAATACGTAGGCCAAACAGCGTGGTTCATAAACGTGCGCTTACGAGCACATGAGCTGCCGCTATCAGGTGCCATAATCACGTCTCATTTGGCAGCTCATTGCAGATCATGTTAGGTGCGTAGTCATAAATGTTTTCGGAATGAAGGGGGAGGGGGATGTGGCACCACCTTGATTTGGGGAGAGCAACCCCCTCAAAGTGGCCATTTGCTGCTCTCTTGGCCGTGGTGAAAAAAAAATTCCGGTGAGAAGGGCGGGGAACGTGCCTGGTGCGCCATCCCCTGTCTATTCCCCTTAACCTTGCTGATGTGGGCCCTATTTGCAGAAAACAACTATCGAATATACACTTGTTGATCAGTGTTAGCGTGAAATAGACGGACTATTTTTTTACTAGATCTAATACCAAGTGAATAAGTAATCCATCTACCGCTTGATGAAGAAGAATATAAGTACTTGTTAGACAAGACACGAATCATGTTGTGTTGCAACACATGCGCACATGCACACAGTTTTGATGAGTCATTGTTTCTTATACATCTTTCTTCAAATAAATTTCAGTAGTGAGTTCACCACTTCGTCCCTTCTCTGTCTGTCTCTAACCCGTTGCCATAAATCTATTCTACGAGGAACGGCCGCCAACTTGCCCAACTGGTGATTCTGCTTAACTCATTTTTGTAGGTTTATGTGAGCGCAACCAAGAAAGGTCTGTTGCGTGATCCATCAGCAATGCTAGAGGTTAGTGTGCATTGTCCTTGGTCTCGTAAAATACATAGAGGCAGAAGAGCCCTCCTGCGCAATATTTGTACAATTTCCGCTTGCCAAAGAGCACAACAGCAATCATGAGTGCAAATATATATTGTTTGAATAGATATTTTTCTGCCTCCAGGTGACCCACGCCGCAAGCTGCCGCGCAGCCTTGGACAAAGCTCTGGACTTCTATACAACCAGTATGTTAACAGTGAGTTATTCGTTTCTGTAATACTTAGATCAGAAAAAGACGCAATTTTTCGTTTCGGTTTAGCGTACTTTCTGGTTGACCTCTAAAAAGTGTCACTCTGACACATTCCAGTTGTATCCTCGGATAGAGGAACTTTACATCATTTTGAATGGACAAATATAGTTCAATAAAGAATATATCAGTTCAAACTCTCTTTATCACTGTATATGGTTGACATATTTACGTAGGAGAAACTATACAAACACTTGCTACATGAAAATCAGCACCGGAAAGCGGTAGTAAGAATTATATTTACTAAGCTTTGATAACTCACGTTATGCTTCACATCTCACACATGTTTCACGTGTGTTGTTCTTCGAACAGCAGCTCGTATGCCAGTCACTTCATCTTTACCAAACATAATTAATATTTTATCATCGCCTACCACTTTAAAAGACGTTAAACACAATAAAAAATACTTGTTAGCTGCTTCTTAATGCGGACGCTTTCATCACGATTCAATTCTTTCTGGTCTGATTTCAAGTTTCCAAAAGTGATTTTGTGAAGAAATACCCCACTGGATACAGTGAAGCACGCCTTCTGAAGAGGCTGCTTAATGAGGCTTTGCAGGATTGAAAGTTGGACAAGTTGGTTCCAAGTTACTGCTTGAAAATGTGCGTAAATATGGTCAGAAAAGACAGGCGACAAACTCAAGAGGACGTGCTCCTAACAACCGTTTTTTTATTTGTACCACACACAAAAACTGATAACAGACAGTTACTTCAAGCATCTAATCATCTGCTGACATGATTCATTCAATGAATTCAATCTCATTTTTTGCAAATCTTCTTCGCTAATGTAAAAGGCCTTGTTATTTCCCTGTCAGTTCTAGCTTGTGGCCTGTAAACCACGCGGGTACTTTTGAACAAAGCCTTCATACGTTTTTCTTGCGGTCTCTGCAGTGTATGGCTAAGTGTACGATTGTAGTCAAAAATGTCTGGTGTTCCTAAAGCGTGTGGTCAGGTGCCATCCTTTCTGCCCAATGTAGATCATCCCGCAAGACAAGGGAAGTATGTATACGATACTTAATAAGAAAGGCACAAAAGTTTTCGCGTAGTTCTCACTCCATGTTTTGTGAATTTGAGACGGACATTCAGCACGCTTGCTAGTAACGAAACAAGTATGCCTCACATTCGGAATAGCGAGAACTATTAGCATCTTGTGTTTGCCGTCTTTCACTCGTGGCCTCCTTTTTTCGCATTTGCGAAGAAGGTATTAAAGATTTTACTCAGTCAGGGTGAACATGCTTTTTAAAAGCAGGAATTGAATGAGAAAATGCAATGCTGTTCTTCACTGTCTACAAATGACGGAAGTGCAAGTGAAATATGTTCTCAAAATTATTGCGTCATGTATAACAATCATATATATGCCACAATTACCACAGTCAATTTTTGTGTTGATGTGCAACTAGCCAGGGTGGCTTTATCTAAAAAAAAGAAGATGCAAATATTTTGAGAAAATACAGGTCACTGTCTGTAATTCCATATTTTTCTTAGGGTTTAGATAAACTCACCTGCGTTCCTCTGAATGGTTTATTTCTTAAACATTCCATATTACCTGACTATCAATATGACTGCACACAAAAACAGATCGACGGAGCATGTGCTGTTTGTTGCAAAACAATTTATAATAAATAATTGGAAGCACGGGTTCTACCTCATGGTGTCTTCGTTCATTTAAGCAAAGCTTTTGACTGTTTTAATCACAACATTCTTTTCGCAAAATTGGAACTCTATAGTTTACGTGTTCATGCCCTTGACCTAATAAATTTTTACCTGTGTTCGTGGTCTCCATACGCCATAATTAACAAGTAAGCTTCACAGTTGCAAAGTATTTTGAATGGCGTCCTGCAGCTTAGCATCTTGGATATTGGAGCCATCGCTGTTCAATATATAAATATATATATATATATATATATATATATATATATATATATATATATATATATATATATATATATATATATATTGAAAGCCTTCCTAGATTCGGTCGAGTTATAAGTCCCCAGATGAAGCGAATGAGCAAACAAAAAACGATGCTTTATTGCCAACGTTACGGCCAGGGACCGGCCTTCGTCGTGGCATACGTGCATATGACAGTAACGCGCACTTCTTAAGGACATAGCATGGGGGCCCCCAATTGTGAGTAATCACGTTTAGCAATATTGCCATGCATACCTGTTATCAAAAAGATATTCGGACATACGCAGCATTTTGTAGATAGAGGAGCAGCAGTGCGCGATACAGAATATGGGAGGCCAAGGTGACTTGAAAACATAAGATTCAAATATTATGACGGACACTTTCGATATCTCAATATTTGTGAATGAATAGAAACAATAAAAGAAGGTAATGTCATCTCAGGTCACGTTCGTTGTCAATAAATGAATAAATAAATAAATATATATATATATATATTATATATATATATTAATATATATATATATACTATTAGAACTTATGCAAAATTCATTGTATATGTGAACGACACCACCCTATTCTTGTCTTGTAATGATATACACCCCTTAACAAACATCGCTAAATACGCATTCTCAACCCTTGCAGCATGATCATCACTTATTTCACTGAAAGTAGACAAACAGAAGACAAAAGCAGTACTCTCTGCCTAAAAGAAAACAAGTATTTCTATGACCTTGCTTTTAGCTAGGTGATACTGTGATTGACAACGTGGACACGTTTAAATTGTTAACATTAATGTTGAGCAGCACAATGACCTTGGATGCACGTGTCAATAATCTTTCCTCAACACTATCTAGAATCATAGGAATCACTTCGTGTAGCAGATATATTTTAGCAGAAAAAAGCAAGCTCATTTTCCATTGCGAGCATTTCTATACCCACAGTAGCTATTGGCTGCTCATTGGGGCAACACAATTATTTTGTCAAGCATATTAAAACTGCAAACTCTACAGATTTGAATGCTCCGCGACATTGTTATTGGGTTCTATGATTCACTCACTGAGCATGTTTTTTTTCAAAATAATACTATACCTGCAAACAAATTATTTACCTACAGATTTGCATGCTTTTATGAAACCACAACAAGGGAAAACGATTCATTTCATTATGAAGCTGTTTCACGTACACTTTGCCATTTATTATACAATACCAGAGTACAAAGTATTTTAGTATTACGAAATTGTAAAGCAAACTACGGTTTTTATATATTAACGTATATTGTTCCATTGTCTTGGAATACCTCAATTTATGACCACCTAAATGCTTTGTCTTATCGTGCAATCCGTTAAAAAGTATTATTAACAATGCTTGTAGCTTTAGTCGCAATGTGTGTTTATGTCTTCATACATTGTATTTATCTGTGTTATTGTTCTCTGTCTGCAGTACAGTTGCTACTTAGGATGTCCGTGGTATCCGGTTTATTATTTTTATTTGTTTTGTAAATGCATAGTGTTTTGTATGAACCTTCCGTGCAGCAATTCTCATTTGTTTTGTGCCTGATGCTTACATGTACGAATGGCGAGGCCCATCCAACGACGTTCAAACTGTTGCTTTTTTCTCGCCTTCCCCAGTTAATGCGTACAAGCTTACATAAAGACTTTATTGATTGATGGCTTTGTCAGACTTCTGCCCATACACTTCAACCCACCACTTGACTTCAGAACCCTTATTATACAAGGTCACCAGTAGAAATAAAGTAATGGCAATGATACCAAAACTGTCCTAGAAAATCTTTATCAGAAATTAACGTCTACAAAAATAATTACAGTGCATAGATCGCCCTGATGAAACACCCGTAACGTTCAGTTGTGAATTCTGCCACATCAAATTCTGAAAGTTCTACGATGTGTCGCTGATTCTGCTCGCAATAGCTTCAAAAAATGGGCTGGACTTCATTTGTGACGTAGAGCAGCTTTACCATGTAAATAACGCTGAAATTCACAATAAAGTTTCATTGAAACATGTTTGTTAATAATCAGTTTTGAGTGGCATGATAGGTGGAAAAATCTCTCTGCCTTGGCCTAGAAATAGTCTGCGAACATGGCAAGTTTAACTAATATAATTTCTAGGGAAAATAATTTATTGCTTAAAAAACAGCCCGGCTCACATACATGTAATACAGCACGCATATATTCATGCGTACGTGTGCGTCATGACCAATACATCGGTTGGCACGCAGTGACCGTGTCATTTATTTTTATTTTTTCACTTTCCATGTCTCGCTGTTACGTCTTTCCTTTAGTATGCATGCGTTACAAACCTGTTCAATATATCAAAGCCATCGCTTGTAAAAGGTGTAAACACGTGTCATTGCAGTGTAAAATTTAGTATGGTTGCTGCATTTTTGTCCCATGAGCAATGTCCGCACTTAGAAAAGAGAGATTTCGAGATCATACTAATGCTGAATGATGTTAATGAGTCCAACTGCTGACCAACATCAATGTCTAAAGATATAAAGCGAGGTTGCACAATTGCCTGTGCACAGGAAGGTCTGCATATGCAAATTGCCGTTTCATGAAGTTCTGTTTTTTGCCAGGAGCAAGCATCAGCAGGTTGTGAACTCAACAAAAAACGAAGCTGGATAGCACTTGGTGGGCGCATGCAATATAGTGAATAAAAATCAGCAATTGAAGACTACTTGCCTGTTAAAGTGTGATTTACGTCATTATACGAGTGCATTAAGGTGCATTTTCTGGAAAGTTGGTACAAAGTCTTGGCGGAATTACCAGCAACATCAAATGAAGCAGAAGAAACAAAGACAAGAAAAAGAGACAATGTTTTTTGTATAAATTTTGCCAGCACCCAAAACAAGTCTACAAGTTTGTGTTGCTCTCATTTGTGTCGCATCCTTTTCTTGCCATTACATCATAAAAAGCCCAGCAACTTAGCTAGAAGTGAATTGGAATAATGAATCTGGAATGTTCGCAGATGTGGCAGTGCTCTCCTGGAGACGTCGACCGCGAAACCATGCGGGGTTATCACGACATGCTTCGTGAAATGGCCATAGAGAAGTACTCTGCGACACCCAAGATGGGCGAAGAGGAGCAGGCACAGGTGTACTTGGAAAAACTCTTGGAGGCATGTTCTCTTTACATAACTATTATTTTGAAGAAGCACAAAGACACACACAGACACACACACACGGGCACGCAGTTCCTCTGCATAACAACACTACACTGACAGTTGGAGCGAGATCGTATTGAGTATTCACTGCAGTTGCGCAGCGCACAAACAGAAAAAAAGGTTAATTTTTTATGACCTATGATGTTGTTAAATTGGTTTTTTATCCATGTTTGTTTTTATTACAGTCCAAGGACAAGGATTGCCTGTGAGTTTTTTTTTCTACGGCAAAAGTACACCTCGTCTTTTTTATTCATCTTCAGCCCGCTGCAGGGCAAAGGCCTCTTCATGACCCACAATCAACCTAGTCTTGTGCTTTTTGCTGCTAAATTAAAACTATCAATTTTTAATCTCGTCGACCTACCTAACCTTCTGTCTCCCGTACGTTCATTTGCCTTATTTGGGAATGCAATCAGTTACCTTTAATGACCAGCGGTTATCCTGCCTAAGCGCTACGCGTCCGTCTCATGTCCATTAGCTTTTGATATCAAGTATATTATTTTAACCCCGATTTAATCCCTGAACCACTTTGCTGTCTAGTTGTCTCGCAAGAATACCATTTATCCTTTTTTTACATTGCTTGCCTTGTCGTCCTCAATTAAGCTGAGCACTCATTGTAAGCTTCGAGGTTTCTGCTCCTTAAGTAAGTACCGGCAAGAGAGAGCTGTTATATACCTTCCTCTTGAGAGTTCATGGCAAATTACCACTCATGATTTGACAATGCTTGAGGAATGTAATCTACCGCAATTTTATACTTCTAGTCATTTCATTCTCGTGGTTCGACTCTGTGGTTGCTACCTGCCCTATGTGAACAAATTCCTTTACATTTTCCTACATCGTTCCATCTAACTCAAAAGGCTATTTTCCGCCAAGAGTGCTACAAAATACTTTAGTTTTGTACATAATAATTTTTAGACCTACTTTTCTGCTGTCCGTTTCCAGCTCAGTACTTATGAGTGGTGATTAATTGCTTGAGTAGAGCAGAATAAAACAACAGTGTTGCACGTTCCTATCTGGCCCACTTGTGCGTTGTACAGGCAGTCATGAGTGTAGAAGAGGTGGGAGGGAAGTTCCAAAGCCTTGCTGCCACAGCAGTACATGAAATTGTGCCCTAGAATTTTTTCACTCATCCCCTCTACTTTTTCGTGACGCGATCGTTTCCGAGAGAAAACGCCTTTGTTGTCAAGCACTTGTACCTGTCTGTTCTTTTTGATTGCGCGAACGTGTTGTATTATGCATTCCTTCTTGATTATCAATTAATAAGCCAGAGCGAATAATAGTTCAGGCGGATACCTCTATCTTTCTGCAAATTATTATCTCTATCTCTCTTCAGTTAATCAATCATTTTTTTATTATGCACTAAACAACTTTGCCCCCATAAAAAGTACTGCATGACATGCTCGACGAAGAATTTACGGCTCACAAGATGAAGAGGCTATCTTTGGTAGATGAGTCCCCGGTATAACAAAAAGTTTCGCCAGCGAAAGTAACTTCATTTACCTGCTTAGCTTCTTAAGAGAACGATTCACATCGGTCATCTTTTGTCTCACGTCGTGTGGTCACGAATACAAATCAAGCCCATAAACAAATTTAAAGGAAGCTAATATAGCCCGAAACCAGGGAAAAATAAACAGAGTCTAAAAATATTACATGACGATAGCATTATTAGTCTTGACCCGCAGTACAATCACATTCTTTAACTTCCTACTAGACGCCTTGTAATATATTCTCCACTATACACTGATAATGCCTGTGAAACCCCGCAACACAACCACCGGTGGCAAATGTGCCGACCCAGCTCATGTATGGCACCCAAGTGGAAGACGGGTGGTTGCGCTGGTGGATGGATCAGAGAGCAAGTCGCCCAGCAGAATGATACAATAGTCTTCGCATTGTTAGGGAGTGGTGATATCCACATCAACGACAGAAACACCAATGAAATATAGAGAGCACGGGGAATCGTCCTCGGGAAGAGGGGAGCGCGAGAAGGCGTCGTTGACTGTATGCTTGCGGCCGTAGCGGTACTGAGTGCAGATGCCGTAGAAATGCAGGTGCGTGCAAACCCAGCGGGCGAGATGGCCTGTGGGATTTCTCAATGACAAGAACCAGCATAGTCCGTAGTGGTCGATGACGCCATAAAACGGCGGACTGTATATAAATAATGTAGGAACTTTGTAAGGACCCAGGAGATCACTATGCACTCTTTTTCTATCATGGTGTAATTTGCCTCGCAAGTCGTATGCCACTGCACATTGGGAAAGTCCGGATTTGCACTGCGCCAGGAGAGCACCAGAACCTACGCCGCTGGCATTCGTGTCTACGTCCGTTGGGGTCGTAGGACCTTAGTGGAATATTATGGGAGGAGATATCAAAAAAGAGCAGAGATTCGCGAACTTGTCGTTGCCGTGGGATGACGACAGATTGAGGGACCCCTTACTTTTTTGTTGCATAGGTTTGCTTTAAAGCATAAATACACAGTAAACAAAATTATGCAGCTTCGTTTTCATCACGAAGTTGAGAAAACACTTGTGGTTCAGACCATAAGTCTATCGTTGCAAGTCAGGTGGCCTGGTGTGCTGGAGTACCACGCAGCGAAAGTGGCGTCAACGAGCCACTTGAAGCACTGGACATGTCCTTAAAAGGTGCTTCAGGTCTGCCTCCCACACCTGTGGGTAACAAATTGGGCAGCTTGAGGTTGAGTTAATGTAGCGCCGCTTCGCACGGACTGAAGGCGTCACAGCTGCACTCACTCGAACCCTTCGGGGCAAGTCGATGAGAGCTCGCGTGACAAGCTGAAGATTTTTCTTGTGAACACTGCAAGTGTCAAAAGGTTGCAGTAGGAGCGAAAATAAGGGATACATGACGGTTACAGGATGACAAGCGGCATCTGCCATGGCATGAGCCAGAACACTATATTGGTGAATCCAGCACAATCTAACTAAGCACGGATAAGCTGCGGCTCACCGGTGAAACTACACTGCTACACAAACAGTATGGTGTACGCGACGAAGTTTACGAACAGCTTGCATCGTTCAGGTAAAGGATGATACTTGATGGGCGTCGCACCTCAACGAGTGGTTGATGTACTACAAGATCATCGCAAAGAGCAACGAACTCTGCCTGTATAGATGTAATGGGTTTTTTTAACGCATAAGAACAAGTCTCGTAATCATGCGGGTGGCAAGGGCACACTAAGGAATCGTTCAGTATGGTTGGTGTTAATCGGCGCCGACATATGATCTCATTCGGAGTTTCTGAGATTCCCAGTTTGAAGAGTGCAACTGGGTATAGCGAGAGAAATACACCTCTCGACGAATACATCCCAGAGTCTCACTGGTGCTCATTTGGCAATGATCACGCGGTGGCACTGGCGAAGTAAGTTTGTAAGTGAGTGGGCATCAGGGTCCATGTAATGTGCTAAGGCGGCAGCTGCAAGAACACTGCTGTGTTTTATCATAATTGCTTTGTGCCTTTCATGATTGAGCTCGTCCAGCGCAGGGAGTTATACTTCTGCCTGAATTGTCGAAATCGTAGTGAACCTGGGAATGCCTGTGATCACACGCTTGACTGCACAATTGAGGATTTCCAATCTCACCCATTCTGCTTTGGTGAAGCGCTGGAACTGTGCTTGGTTGATTAGGCGAAGTTGGAATACCGAACATGCTAGCTACCATGCAATACGAGTTCGTACTCCACCGCTTTGTTGAGTGATGCGACGTATAAAAGGAAACATGCTGAAGGCTGTCTTGTGGGCACACCGAAGCTGTATTGAGGCCTATCTGGATGCGAAAATGGCTACACCAAGGACGCGGATAGTAGATGCCTGCGTGAGGACATGACCATCAAACATAACACGTAGAGGGGTTCAGTCAAGTTTGCGGCGGCCCCACTTATTGGCGATGTTCATCAAGGTATTCTTTTCTTATGAGGGTGTGAGTCCCACTGAAAAGAGCCAGGCAAATGTGGCTCCGAGCGCTGCCCGCAGCGGCCGCACTTCATGGTCTGACAAATTGGGAGTCGTCTAAACTGACACGTCATCGACATAGATAAAAAATGTAGGTAAAGAATGCTTGATAGCTTCCACGTTATCGGTAGTAGTGCAACGTTGAATAATAATCGCGCAATACGGCTGCAAAACTTCACGTTGCTTGTTGAAGTTGCCGTGGCCTTTCTAGAGATGTGGACGGAAAAGAGCGCTCTCGAAAAAAGGAACTTGTACATTATTCTACACAACCAGGCAGACGAATTCGTTGAAGAACCTAAAGGACTGGTTCGTGGCTGATGTAATAAGCTCAGTGTAAGTCCATTGCAATCAAGGTTTGTATACGGTGTGAGCGGTCACCTAGAAGCATCGCATAGGCGTGGTATTCTAGTCCACCTTCAGTTCCAAGCTGGGGCCTAAGTCCTATATGGGCCGGTTCGTACCACATGAAGTCTTCCGGTCACCATACAAGGTGCGTAGCCACGGCTCGCTCCAGGAGTTTACACAATTGGTTATGAAGAGCGCAATCGTTCGTAGGTACCCGAAAACGCCATGAGGTTTCCCTTGTTTTGGGATGACTACAACAACTGCACGTTTCCATGATACCGGAACTGCTTCTAACATCTAGGCCCTACTAATCGTATCCAGAAACCACGTGAGTGCCGGCTGTTGAATGTTCTTATAGACTCCACATGGGATCCCATCAAGGCCTGGAGCTGTCCGAGGTTTAGCCTTGTCGATCGCCGCCAGCAGCTGGGCCATAGTAAACGAAGACTCCAAACCTTCGAGATCTTAGAGGCTCGGCACTGCTTCCACTAGTTTTGAAATGTATAATGGCCGTGAAAGTGCAGCTGGCGCACTGTAACATTTGGGTACAAGAACCTCGCAACCTAGCCTTGTCGATCGCCGCCAGCAGCTGGGCCATAGTAAACGATGACTCTAAACCTTCGAAATCTTCGAGGCTCGGAACTGCTCC